AAAGGCCAAAAAAAAAGGGGGGGGGGTAGTTTGAGTATATTTAGCTTGAGATCCAGGTATCTCAAACTTATCATCAAACTTATTGTAAGGCATCCCAGCACAGGGGATCCCAACATTTTTCCCACAGTCCTCCTAAGTTAGCCATCTTCATGATCAAAAATCCACTAGTGACAATCAAATACTTACTCACTATTCAAATACTTGTTCTTGAAATAATCCAATGTGTTCCTTTCATCAGGGAGAAAGGAAGCAGATACCAGGAGGAGCTCATCCATTTTCGAAGCCTTCTTCCTCTCCTATATTACAAGGAATGCCTGTCCCAGTAGACTTTAGGGAGTGAAACCTGGAACAAGGAAGACACAAAAAATGAAGTATACTACGATGTTGAAGAATTATGATGGTTTTAAAGGTTAGAACTGTGAACGCTGATGACCACCTGGGATCCCCTGGGTAGAGGACTTGGCACTCTAACTCATTTGAGTCATAAATCAAAAAGATCCTTCTTGCAAATACTATGTACAGTATGTCTATTCAGAACTTATCCCAGCTGAATTGAGAGGAACCCTTTAAACCACATATAGTTTTTCAGCCTAACTCCAACTGAGGCTGCAGCTTCAGCACCAATCTTTAAAAATATTGCTAAACATAATTAGCAGCCTAGCTGAAAGATTCGGCGCAATGTGGCTTGGCAGCGTTTGTGTCAGCATGAAAGCTAGCACAGGTCTGTTTCATGTCAGATTCCTTTGGTTGCATGTAGATCTGTCCTTATTTAACACTCCCCTCCAGCTGTGCTTGGCTAGGCTCATTAGTACTCCCTAAAGGAGATTTTATTATACTGACACTTCAGAACAACTCCTTTATTTTGTGTTTATGCACTATCTCCTCTCCCCTCTTTGAATAAATCATCAGGAATCAGTCTGTTGCATACAGCTCAAACAGAGGCTGCGTCTAGATACCTTCTATGGCTAGGAAGGTTCTTCTGCAGAAAAGCTCTTCAGAAAGCCAGGAATTCCAGGAAGTGAGATGAATAGATAGGCAGCCTTTATTTGAGCTGTATATGGAATGGGCTGCCAAGTACAAACGTGATACATAAAATCTTAGGATGAGACCAAAGACTTATCTGTTCCAGCATTCTATTTCCACAATGACCAACCAAGTGTCCATGGGAAACCCAGAAGCACTAAACCCAAGGGCTTTCCTGGTCATGACCCATGCTGCATCTAATACTGAACATAATATACATCCATTGAAACTGGCAGCTCTTGATAGGGTTATCCTCCAAGAATTGTTCAGTCCCCTTTTAAAGCCAGCCAAGCTGGTGGTTCTCTTTTTCTTTTATTCTTTCTTTGTTCCATTGTGTTTTTATCTTGTATCATCAACTGTACAACTGAGAAGGGGAGAACAGGATTGTTGTTCTGTAGAAGAATCTTAAAAAAAGTTTTCAATAAAGAGAGAATAACAAAAGAGCCTGAAAACACTATCTGCTAGAGCAACCCCCTATCTAGGCTTATTGAGACCTTCAGAGAACTCTAAAAAGGAAGTGAAGTAGCATTTTCCTTTGCAGAAAACATGCTGATTCTTGTTTAGCAGGACTTGTCTTTTTATATGAGTAATTATTTTTATCTTGCTAATGCTTTACCTAAAGCAAATGTTAAACTAACTGAATTTCCTGGATCCCCTGGATTTTTTTTTCATGTTAGTTTTGCTATTTTCCAGCCAGCTAACATAAAGGATGATCTTAGAGATCATAGGTAGTTTATTAGAAACTCACTTCTTCTTAAGAATCTTTGGATGCATACCATTTGAATCCAATGGTTTGATTTCAATTTTTTAATGAAATCTAGAGTTTCATCTCTTGCTTACTACTGTTTGCTTCAGAACCTCAGGTTCAGCTTTTGCAAATATCAGTTCAGAATCAGGTATACATATCTTATATAGTGCAGGGAACTGTAAAGAAATAATCTTCTCTGCAGCTTTTAAAGTTTCATTTAGGACTTAGATCTTTGTCACTAATACACCCCTCTGGCCATTTTCCTGCTTACAACACGTATTTAGACAATATTTCATTATTAGTCATTATTATTAGCAACATACTGCTCAAAATCCTTTTGGCACCCTTTATTCTCTCCTTGCATTTTTCTTAAATGTGTGTTCTTTTATGTTCTTCTCATTTGGACAACAATTTCTTCAAGGAAACTTTTTTTTTTCCATCTCTAGTAGATTCTTTGACAGTACTTGTTAACAATACTGGTGACCTCTTGGACTTTTCAAACACACAATATATATTCTATTGAGCTTTTATTACTGTAGCTTTAAAAAAACATTCTGGAAAGATGTGATCCTCTTCACTTTCCAATTTTCCATTTTCTTTTTATCAATCCCCATTTTTTTTAGAATTTCCTCTTTCTAAATAAAATCTGACTCTGTTGGCCTTTGTAGGCAATTTTCCTCTTACATATAAATTAAAACTGTAACACTATAGTCATTGTTTCTTTCTGGTTTAATAACACATCGCATGCTATCTCTTTGTTTTCACTCAGGATTAAGTCCAGAACCACATCCCCTGAGGTCATTTATGATGTACAGAAATTTAACTCTTCATCATAATATGCAAATTTAATTACTCTACAGGAGGCTAATTGAAGCCATCCATTACTACGACACTCTCTCCGATTTGATTCTTCATCTACAGATCCAACTAACCCTCTAGGTAGTATATTCACAATACCATATTTTCTTTATGCTACCAAAGAAAATCTACAGGAGAGCTGTACATAAGCTCAGTTCTTATTCCTACTAGTTGTGGGGGCTTGGAGATGGAACAGCATTTTTAAGCACTCTATAAAGATTCCTCTGAACCATCTCTAAGGATTTTCCCCAGCTGCAAGTTTTGGTCCCCATTCCCCAATATGTCCACACAGTCTCAGCAGGTGGCAGCACCTGGCCATCCTTGTTTGGATCTGGGACCTAAGTAGAATCAGGTCTGTTTGAGAGACTATCAGGAGAGCTCAGGGTTACAGACTAGACTGAACAGTAAAAAATAAAAAAAATGTGGAAGAAAATGGCAAATTACTTTCGTACTGTTGCCAAGAGAACTGTACAAATTCTATGACGTCACCGGGAGAAAGTGTGACCTAAAGGAGATTTTACCTTTTCACTTCTACACACTTTCCCCCCCACCCCCTCATCGGGGCATTGATGATGTGCAGATCTGAGGCAGTCTTGAACTAGGGTTTCAGGCAGCCAAGTTCTATTGGTCCCCCTCCTCTGCTGCATCTGGTGCACTGATTTCTCCGCTAACTCTTCAAGTCTTGCTCACCATCTAGGACTCTGCATCAGCCTGCCTGAATGTGATCAACAATCCCACTGATCAATCCAATCCATCCAATCCTATATTTTCTCCTCAGAGTTATGTTTCAATCTGAATAACTCAAAAAGCTGCTCCAATCCAGAACCAGATCACCTGAAACTGATGCAGTGTTTCTCAACCTTAGCAACTTCCAGATGTACGGACTTCAATTTCCAGAATTCTCATCAATAGCCATGTTGGCTGTGGAAATCTTGGATTTGAAGTCTCTACATATGGAAATGGCCAAGGTTGGGAAATAGTGAATTAGAGGCTTGGGGGCTTTTTTTAAATTAAAGATTTGCCAGGCATAATGAGAATTTTGTTTCTTCTCATTTCAGAAAATGGGAATTGTTCTAATATTATTATTAGAATACTGGTCCTTCTCAGTTTCAGTCTTAGCAAGAAGAATAGTCCTCCCCTTCATTCTATATGATTTAGAACTTTTATATTTCAGGAAAGAGGAACACTTCTTTCTCTGCCATCCTAAATATGCCTGTCCCTGTGATGCTTCTGGAAAATATTCTACTATTGCTGCTATGACATTCAAGGAATATTTTGATGCCAGAGATTTTGGCAGGAGTACTGCATTTGCCCAAAATTAAATGTCTGTTTCTAAGAGTGATCCATCTCCCAGCATATAAAAAATACATTTCTTCATCAACCCTGGCAGAATAAGGCAGAGTTATATGTGACGATGATTGAAATCAACGTTCAGAGTCATAATTTTGATCTCTGCTTTCAAAGTATCCACAGCCATTGCTGGAGGTCAACCCGAAAGAGTTACATTCTCTCCCTGATATTCTAAGACCCTTTACTGATTAGCTATCCAAATTATAAGAAAAAGTGCATATGCAGCCTTGTTAGATTTCATATGCCTTTGGAGGTGAGATTTATAGCCCATTGGGATAATGATGTTACAAACAAAATGATTTGCACTTAGGATTTACAATCATCCATGAGAAACTCAAGTAAAAAACAACATGTAAATCTCAGTGCTGATGCTCAGGAGGTTTTGTCTGCTTATGCAGAACTGGGATTAACTGCAGAAGCCAATGTGCCCCCTTGATGTGTTTGAACTAACTCACTCATACACCTGCCACATATTTATTTTCTACCCAAAGGAAAAATCTGAACTAAATGTCATCCATCCTCAACAAATCTACTCAACAGTCAGCCCCTGTGTGTTTGTGAGTGCACTGTGGTGCTTTCTGCACAAATGCAACAATCAGGCAGCCAACAGCAGAGAACATATGCTTTATCTGGTTGATGTTAGATCCTTTGGGGGAGAGGTAAATCAATCTCTCAATTTCCTTTAATTTAGGTTCAATAAAATCTCTGTCTAACAGAATCTCACACAAAGAAATGGCTTTAAGCCAGATTAGCCAGTCTGTTGTTTGACCCCAATTCACATGCTGAGACTGGCACTGACACAGAGGCTGAAGCTCTTTCCATCATACCTACTTGGTGCTTTTACAATATTGTAGTGGTTGCTTTAGCCATGCTCAGAACTTTGGGTGTAGTCTTGCATGTAAGCAGCATGACCAATGATCTCTTCATCTATCAGAGAACAAGGAGTTATTAGTGGCATGTCACACGCTGGTCTCACCCCACCCCACTACCCCACCCTACACTAACTAGTCCCAGTAGTTCCACAGCAGCTGCTACTGCTTCCATTCCTACTTGCTACCATCCTTGGCCTTCTGTTGTTTGCATTACTCTAAAGCAGTGTTTCTCAACCTTGGCAACTTGAAGATGTATGAAGTCCAGATGTTTTCAAGTCACCAAGGTAGAGAAACACTTCCCTCAAGTGATGCTCCTCCTCACTTCCACTTTCTAGGGGAAATCAATTTCTATGGGAAACAAGCTAGGTATCTCATTTTTCTTTCACTGCTGGGACAAGAAATAGCTCTGGACCAGTGAGCACAGGGACATTATCATCAACATCAAAAGGAAACTGAATCAGTGCAAGAAAAATTAAAGTGGTAGGCACACTGGGCCCTAACTAGGTCTATCTCTCAGTGCCTAAAGATGCGCTAGGTAGGAATTGTTCAACAGTTTGTTTCAGTTCCATCTGGAAATCCCTGGGAAGTGCGGTCTTTCCTTGCCTCCTTAAGCCATTAGGAATACCAGAAGACCTTACCATGAGCAGACTGGCCTTATTCCCAAAGTGGACAACTTTCAAACTAAGAATGCAGAAGATTGCCGGGAACAAAATGGTAGAACTGTAGCAGAATACATTATGTCTCTCCTGATCTCACGTG